TATGTGTGACAGAGTGCTGGAGAAAATGCATGAGCATGCACACACGTGCAGCATACGCCTGATTTTACTCGGCGTGCTAGCGTCCGGTTTCATTGTAAAATAAGATTTCACGCTAAGACAAGTGTAAAGCCCACTGATTTAAACGGCCTGTATGACCTCAAAAGGTTATCTAGATTGTATAGATGGTGAGTGCACATCTGTAAAGGCCAGAGAGTAAATCCTGAGTAGAACTGAAATTAAAAGGGCCCTGGGCTTTCCTATCATTTCTTATTCTACCCCCCCGCCCCCAATATGCTAATCAGAAGCGGAGACCACGCCCTTGGGCCGGGAGCTGTCCACTCTGCAATCAACAAAGGAGGGCACGGAGACCCGTTTTGCCGGTCTTAGGAAAAGCAAAGGGGAAATGAAAGTCGACTTCTCCTGGACCTTTGCTCCAAAGCCGTGTTTCCAGCTCCGCTGTAAGGAGAGGATTAAGATATGACAAAATAATAATTTATAAATTATCAAGGGCTCATGGGGGAGGGGGGAGCGGGGAGGGAGGGGAACAATGAGGACCTAATGCCGGGGGCTTAAGTGGAGAGCAAATGTTTTGAGAACGATGAGGGCAATGAATGTACAAATGCGCTTTACACAATGGATGTGTGTATGGATTGTGATAAGAGTTGTAGGAGCCCCTAATAAAACGATTAGAAAAAAACAAAAAAGGATTTCCATTAGCTCGATTCGCACCATTTGCCCATGCATGTGTTCACACTTTGGGAAAGGAAAAATCTTGATGGAAGGAATTGCCCAATGACGGGAATCTTACCTGAGTATAACAAACTGGGATTATCAAGTATATTGCGGGACAGCGGGCGGGCGTGCTCCAGCCGGGGAGATGAGAAACACGGGGGTGGTACTGAAAATGTCTATTCCCTCCACATGCTGCTCTTTCCCCCCTCCCTGTGCCTCTGCCCCACCCCAACCCCTGCCCCCCAGGTCTTGTTCAGCTTCGGGAGATGGCATCACAGTGGAAAGAGCTGCGTCACTAGATGGGCCTGGCTTTGTACCCTGCCTCTGACGTTTTGGGCAGGTCACTTAAACCTCTCATCCTTTAAATTTCTCATGTGCACAGTGGAGGGAAGAATAGGCACCTTATGGGACGAAGGATTGACAGAGTTGAATTGTGTGACCGTGCTTACACACAGCAGTGGCTCGGAGACTGGTATCGTGCAGAGGGGCCCATAGCTAGGATGAGGAATGGTTGTGAGGAACCTAGCTTTACATTTTCGAGGGGAAAGCAGGTGGGCCGAAGTAAAACAAAACAAAACAAAACCCCAAACGAAGTCCTTCACAGCCACTGAGTCCATTCTAACTCATAGGGATTCTGTGGCATGAAGCAGAGCCTCATCTTTCTTCTGAGGGGTGACTAGTGGATTCAAACTGTTGACCTTCTGGTTAGCAGCCTATTACATAAACCACTCTGCCATTGGGGGCAGGAGTAGGGTATGTGTGTCTGTGTGTGTTGGAAGGACTAGACTTTCTGGTTTCAACTTCTCAGGGATCACAATGAACCAGGATCTTTTGGAGGAGCAAATCAGGATTCTGCTGTGCAGTCATGAAAGCCCTCTGATTCCACATGGATCCAGTTGAGTTTTAGGGGACAGAGGTAATGCTTCTTTGAGTCTTTCTCCCAGCACAGTGCATCACCGTTAAGGACATGAATTAGGAGTGGCCCATTCCACTAGTAGTAGGTAGGTGAAATAGCACGCAAGAGGAGGGGTCACCCTCGAGCAAGCAGACTATTTTAGGGGGTTGTGGAGACATACTGGAGAGGGAGAGCATTTAGTCCTTAGCTCTGGGAATTCAGAAAGTAACTGAAAGAACCACGTACAGAGCTAACTGTAATGAGGCAGGAGCCATATGGTTTATCCTTACCACATCCCAGCCCCACCTCAGAGGTACCACTGAGTCAGGTCAGCTCATAGCAACCCTCTGTATGAGACAGAATGAGACAACCCGGGTCCTGTGCCATCCTCCCAACATGGTTATATGTTGCAGCCACTGTGGCCATCCATCTCCTCGAAGGTCTGCATCTTTTTGCTGCCCTTCTGCTTTAGCAAGCATGATGTTCTTTCCCAGAGACTGGTCCTGCCTGATAAAATGTCTGAAGATCGAGAACAAGGAAGGTTGAAGAAGAATCCGTGCATTTGAATCTGGTCCTGGCGAAGAAGATTAAAAGTACCACGGACTGTCAAAAGAGCCAACAAATCTATCCTGGATGAAGTCCGGCCAGACTCCTTTAAAGGCAAGGATAGCGAGACTTCATCTCACATACTTTGAATGGTATCAAATAAAATATTCCTCAGATGATATCAAATCCAATGCTCCTTCAGATTGTCAGATCAGGCATCTAGGACTGGGTTCAGAAAATACAGCCTGCATATATTTTTAAAACAATTTTTTAGGGGCTTATACAACTGTTATCGCAATCCATACACACATCAATTGTGTAAAGCGCATTTGTACATCATTCTCAAAACATTTTCTCTCCACTTAAACCCCGACATTAGGTCCTCATTTTCCCCTCCCTCCCCGCTCCCCGCTCCCTCATGAGCCCTTGATAGTTTATAAATTGGCATTTTGTCATACCTTGCCCTGTCCGACGTCTCCCTTCACCCACTTTTTGGTTGTCTGTCCCCCAGGGAGGAGGTCACATATAGTTCCTTGTAATCGGTTCCCTCTTTCCTACCCATTCTCCCTTTACCCTCCCTGTTTCGCCACTCACACCACTGGTCCTATAGGGCTCATCCACCCTGGATTCCCTGTATTTTCAGTTCCTATCTGTACCAGTGTACCTCCTCTGGTCTAGCCAGACTTGCAAGGTCGAATTCGAGTTATGGTAGTGGGAGCGGGGAGGAAACATTTAGGAACTAGAGCAAAGTTGTATTTCTCATTGTTGTTACATCGCACCCTGACTGGCTCATCTCCTCCCAGAGACCAGCCTCCATATTTCTATGTACGTACAATCATTTAGGATATTTCCCAAACATCTACTGTGCTCCCAGAATTCTGACATGGCTAAGTGGATGGACTTAAGGCTGGGATAGACCTGGGTTGAGTGCCAAACCTTTTACTTACTCCTGTATCCTTGGAGGAAAATCATCCAGGAGACTGATGTTTCTCAAAGTTGGAAATACTGCCCCCTAGGGGCACTGAAATAATATTACCCTGCATTATGGGCTGCAATCTGAAAGTTTTTAATTACCAGTGGGGCGCTAGTGAAGTTTGTCTTTCTGAATAGGGCAGGGGCAGTAGGCCAAAAATGTTTGGGAATCTATACTCTAGGCACTCCAGGTCCTTAATTTTTTTAAAGTGATCATATTATAGGGGGCTTATTGGATAGAGATGTTTTGAGCGCACCAGGGCCTGGCACATGCATGGTAAATAAGCCAAACACACCAAGCCAGTGGTCCTGATTCATGGCAACCGTGTGCATGCCAGAGTAGAGTTGTGTCCTTAGCATTTTCGATGGTTGAGTTTGGGAAGCAGATCTCTAGACGCTTCCAGGCACCCCTGAGGGGTGGGGGATGGTGCAAAGGAGTGCTTATCAGTTTTTCTCCCCCCAGAGATGCCTTGGTACACAGAAACGCACTGAATACAAGCTGGTGGTTGTATGAGGGATCTCTGCTACTCCTTCAAACCACTGGTCCTCGTTCTGAGGCAACTTTGCTTTTATCCTAAACGAGTTTTCTTATCATGCAAGACAACTTTTTAAAAAAAAAATTTCATTTTATTTTCTTTTAACTTGCAAGACCTCTTACAATATCTGGAGGCACTTGGAGTTGTCACAAATGTGGGGGGTGGGTTTGGGGGGTGGTTCTAGGCATCTTGTGGCTCAGAGACCAGCAAGCTGCTCAGCATTACGGAATGACAGGGCAGTCCTCCCTCCCCTAGTCCCTCTAAATTGGAAATGGGAGGGCATGGGAGTGTTTCATCTCTCTGAAAAAGCGGGAGATGCCAAAAACCGAAAACCGGATTCGTTGGCCCTTTGCGCATCTCGTGCCATTGATGTCCAGGTCCCGTGGGGGACCCTCTTCTCTGTCCTCATCCCCCCTGGGTGGGCTGTGCGTTCTGCCATACGAGGTAACAGGGCTCATAAAACAAGACGCGGTCCCAAGTCAGCGCATCCTGAAGCAATCAGGGAGAGTGGCCCTGAGCCAAAACTGAAACCGAAAGGAGGCGCTCCAGGCTGCTCTCCTGGGAGCTCGGAGGAGCGTAGACACGTGGAGGTCTGGGCAAGGCTTCTAAGCGAATCCTATGAGCCCGCTGAAAGAGCCCTGGTGGCGCAGTGGTCAAGCATTCAGAAGGACGGCGGTTCAAACCTACCGGCTGCTCTGGGGGAGAACGATGTGGCAGTCTGTTGCTGTAAAGATTTATAGTCCCGAAACCACTGGGAGGCACTTCTTTATTGTCCTGCAGGGTCGCCTGGAGTGGAATCAACTCCAAGGGGGTGTAGGACCGTTTGGCGCAGACTTCCTACGCGCTGGTGGTTAACTGCAAGCAGCGCAGCGCCGGGGGAACAACCCTGGTATCTCAGGGGCAGGAGCCCAGGGGGTGGGCAGAGGCCTAGGGCGACCGGTGGTACCGAGAGGGGCCGTTTGTCTTTCTCTAGCCTCAGCCCGGGAGTCCAAGCCCGGCCGCCGGCTCCAGCTGCCAGGGCTGCGGATCCGCCTGTGCGATGCGACCAGGTGGCTTTCTCCAGGTGATCAGGTGAACCCAGTTAAGATCTGGTTTCAGTGAGATGCCAAGGTGCTGACTCACCCCCGCCCCCGCCGGCGCCGGGCGCCGGGGCTGGTTGGGCGGCGCACTCGCTCGCAGCGTCTTGCCAGCGGTTAATCATTAGCCACGGCCGCCCCAGGGTGCCGCCCCCCGCAGCACGGGGCGGAGAGGGTGTTCCTAGAGGGTGGGCGGGGGCTACAAATGCCGGCGGCGGCGAGGCCAGTGCCTGCGGGTCTCCCTCTCAGCCTGCCTGGGAGATCAGAACCACCCCCTCTCCTGGACCCCTGGGAGGGTGCACCAGCTTGACCTGTTCCAGGAAGTTCTCATGAAAGCCCTTGAAATTCGAAGTTCCCCTTGGCAGGTGAAATCCAGTGAGACGCCTCCTCCGTCCACATTGGTGAGTGGCAGCCCAGAACTCCCGACCGGCCGCTGAGAAAGTCTCCGGGGCTCCCGCCTCATGGCGTCACCCCGTAGGCCCTGGAGTGACTGCTCCCATGTCATCGATCACACCCACGTCTCCGAGTTTGAGGTGGCTACCTGGATCAAGATCACCCTCATCCTGGTGTACCTGGTGATCTTCGTGGTGGGCATCCTGGGGAACAGCGTCACCATCCGGGTCACTCAGGTGCTGCAGAAAAAAGGCTACTTGCAGAAGGAGGTCACGGACCACATGGTGAGCCTGGCTTGCTCGGACATCTTGGTCTTCCTCATTGGCATGCCCATGGAGTTCTACAGCATCATCTGGAACCCGCTGACCACGCCCAGCAATGCCCTGGCCTGCAAGCTGCACACCTTCCTCTTTGAGGCCTGCAGCTACGCCACGCTGCTGCACATCCTGACGCTGAGCTTCGAGCGCTATGTTGCTATCTGCCACCCGTTCAGGTATAAGGCTGTGTCAGGGCCTTGCCAGGTGAAGCTGCTCATTGGCTTCGTCTGGGTCACCTCCACCTTGGTGGCCTTGCCTTTGCTTTTTGCCATGGGCACCGAATACCCTCTTGTGAACGTGCCCAGTCACCAGGGGCTCGCTTGCAACCGGTCCCTCACGCGTCACCACCGGCAGCCGGAGACGTCCAACATGTCCATCTGTACCAACCTGTCGAGCCGCTGGACGGTGTACCAGTCCAGCATCTTCAGTGCCTTCGTCATCTACCTTGTGGTCCTGGTCTCCGTGGCCTTCATGTGCTGGAACATGATGCAGGTGCTCACGAGGAGCAAGCAGGGCACGCAGGCCAGGAAGGGGCAGCCCGCGCTGAGGAAGTCCGAGAGCGAGGAGAGCAAGACCGCCCGGAGGCAGACCATCATCTTCCTGAGTGAGTTCGAGGCACCTGGAGGGCGTCTCCCAATCCCTCTGGCTTGACCCTCAACACCTGTTCGGTTAGGTCGTTCCTCGGCTTGCTTAGGTTGAAGAGTCAAAGCACATGAGGGGCTCCGGGTCTGAGTCTTCAGCTGATTCTTTCTCGGGGTGTGAGGATGTGTGGTGGGTTATGATGAAAAATCAGAGTAGGCAGGAGGGCTGGTTATATCATAGTACCCTCTGATCGTGGGCCAGTCGTAGTACGTCTTGGATAAGATAGGGTTAATCCAGGCTAATACAGTTTGAATGAGATAGAGCTGATCAGGAAATAAGAGGTCAAATTAAGTAATCCTGCTGAGGTGAAAGTCCTTGGACTAGGACAGCCATCTCTGTCGGGGTGTGAAAGGAAATATTCTTTTCCACGCTCTCCTGCCCTGAAGAATCTTTTCTGGGCAATTGAAGTTTATTCTCTCCCTCTCTGCCAGGGACACACACTCTTCAGGCTTATTTGATATTCCTAGAGTGATCTCCTAGACCAGCCTTAGGGAGCTGAACTTCTCAGAGTGCTCTCCCCAGGGTAGTGCTCCGGCTCCCACTGTGGTCTATCTGGTCCTTGGCTCAGCAGAAAAACATGGCAGGCCAGGCAGCCTGCTAGGCTGATTTGGGAAATCTGGCTACAGGGATGCCAGGCCTTAAATGATGGTCCAAAATACCCACTTCATGTTGGGGGGTTTCCAAACGTTTGTGCGATGCAAGTACTTGAAGGCCCTTCTTTGTGTCAGAAAGAGAGCCCACGGTTTGTACTCTCAGAAATCTTCACAAGGAGGGACCTCCTCACTGCCTTCTGGGAGATGTAGCGACAACAGATACAAAGTCTGAGCACGGAGTTTTAAAACATATCTGTATTTCCAGAAACAAGAAAAAAAGATAATGATGTGGCTGTGTGAGTCAAAGGGGAGTTGGTAAAACAAATGTTTTTGGCTCTCCCAAGGGAAAGAATAAATCAGGGTGCTGTTTGTTTTTGGTGTGGGGCAACCTGAGAAACAGGTTCCAGGCCCAGGAGTTAGACATTAGAGAAAAAATGGAGATGCTTGAATAGGGTTGGGAAGAACTCAGTTCTTGTTCCAGCCCTGACCATTGGCTTCCTATGTGTCTGTGATTAGCTGATTTCACTTCTCTGTGTCTTTGCAAAATGAGAATTGTGCCGACATTTGGTGGCACAATCTGGGTCAGTGGCTGTGATTGGTCATTTGCATGACCATTTTATGGAGGAGGAACTGGAGGCTTTGAGAAAAGCTAGTTCAAGTTCCCACAAGTGACTACTGACATGGTCAACCTGGAAATCTAGCCCTGCTTCCCAGGGTAGGGAAATGAATTCTGGCCAGGGCTTTCACAGGCATGTGGTGAAAGCCTAATGAAATTAGCACCAGGAAGGTGCTAATTAGATTTGACTGGAAAGGTTGGTGCCTCTGAGGGCTAGCCTTTCTGGAATTCGTAGAAGGAAATTCATAACAGGTCAATTCTTTCTCACCCACTGCCCAAATAGCAGTGAGTGGAGATACCACTTTTGTATAAAGCTTGAATATCTGTTTAAAGCAGTGGTTCTCAACCTTCCTAATGCCGTGACTCTTTAATACAGTTCCTCATGTGTGGTGACCCCCAACTATAAAATGATTTTCGTTGCTAGTTCATAACTCAGTTTGCTGCTGTTATGAATCAGGTCATGACCCACAGGTTGAGAACAGTTGGTTTAAATGCTCTCACAAACTCACTGACATGTAGCCGATGAAGACTCATGGTGACCCTATAGGATGGGGCAGAACCGCCCCTGTGAGTTTCTGATATTCTTTACGGGAGTAGAAAGCCTTGTCTTTCCCCGAGGAAGGTATAGCTGAACTGTGAATAAATAGTAAGGTACATCTATGGATGGTTTAAAGACTAGTAGCTCTTCTTTCCCCAAGGTAGGTATAGCTGAACTGTGAATAGTAATGCATATTGTAAATGGGCTTTTTCCCTCTGTCGATTGAATGGTTTTTGTGAAGATACCGATTTTACAGAATGGGGATTAGGTACAGTGGTCTCTCCAACTACCTCCCAATCGAATCGAAGCTTTGAGGCATCCTTTGAAGAGAAGAAATCAAAAGTCATTGATTTATCTCTGTTCTGTTGGACCGGACTGCAGGTTTTTCTTGTGGGCGTTGGATGTTTGTTTTCCCTGAGTAGATGTCTCTTCTCCCCATGAGGAGGATCACTCCACAGTAACCCCAGTCCCTATTTTGTGACATAAAATCAGAATGCCCCAGACTTTTCTTTCAAGATGGCAAAGACCATTGAGACCATCTCAGCCAGTAATGAGCGTGTTCTGCTGGGTCCCTGACTCTCATTCTAGCGCTCTCCATATTTCTGTGAGCAACAACTTGTGAAGCAGCCACTGTGTTCCCGGCTATTGAGTGTTGAATGGCAATCAGGTGCACAACGGTAGGTCAAGGCCTCAGGGGAATTTGCCATTTGTGTTTCGCCTGTTTCCTCTGCGGTTGGTTTTCAAAGCTGTTTTTGCAAATGGCCTCCTCCCTCAATGAATTTCAAAGAGCTTTAACAAATAAGAACCCCGCTAATTAACTCAAGTTAGGAAATAAATTAATGGAGTGAAAAGGAGGACATTGTGGCCCGCATCCATCAGATTAATACAATGCAATTTACTTTGTGGCTTTGTAAAACTTCTGCTTTGGGGCATTTTTAACCCAGAACAAATGAACATATAAATTGTTTACAAATCGTTGAATTTAATATAGTGATTTAGCTGCCTTTTTAGTATTTCAGTTAACAGATGGATCAAATTAAAACAAATAGTTGCTCATTTTAAACATATAGTGCATTTAATGTGAAATGTAAATGACAACATAGCACAACATGTTTTTGGAGCTCTCGAGGCAAGCAAAACCAATTAAGAATGTTCAGCCCCCTCATTGTTAAAAATGCTAACTCCTGCATAATAGAAATGAAAATCATAAATCTATTTAAGATGAGGAAGGCTGTGTGGGAAATATGAAGTTTCCTTCCTGAATGTTTAGCTGTTGTGCCCAGTCTTGTTAAAGCACTGGCTGGTGACTAATGTAAACCAACTGGGAACTCTGGGAGAGAAAGAGATGCTGGGACGCCCCCCCCCACCCCAGCTCTCAAGAAACGTTTGGGAGAAAACTATAGTCATGTACCTGAACATACTCCTGAAAACATGAGTGTCTCTCCTTGTCACCCGTCAGCTCCGTGAGAATTCACCAGATTTGTTTCCTGTTGCCAAATGATGGCTTTGATGGTCATTGTTCTATTTGTCAGATGGCAGCACACAGGAGTTTCCCCTTCTGGATTCCTGCCTCTTCCGCGGGCTGTTAAAGATAGGTAGAAACGAGCCTTCTTTTAAGAAGGTATTTCCAGACCGCTCCCACCTCATCCTCTTAAACTTTCACTGAAAGGTAGTCTCTGTGTGTGAGCATCCGGGCCCACGGACACACAAGCTGTGTCTATATTGCACATGCGGTTTCCCATGCCATAGAATGCCATTCACTCAAAGCGAGAAGAGAATTAAGAAATGACAGAGTAGCTTAAAAGAAGTCTGTGTACTCTTACTATGCAAGTTTAAAGAGGACTCCCTTCCAGTAGGGCAATGGGTGGTTTTCTATTATAATGACGAAGAACATATTTTTACAATTAAAAATTTAAAGAAATCTCATAGGTTCAAGACCTTGCTAATAATTTCACACTTGCATTCTGATTGACTTTCTGGAACTGGGGGGCAAGGAGTCAGCTAGCAGCAGGAACTGCTTGTGGGAGAATATGCTGACTAAGGACATCATGCCTCGTGTGTGTTTGGATTAGAAATAAAGGTTGGAACTGCTGCTGTAATTCAGAGGAGTTGACTACAAATCAGATGGATGAATATTTAGATAACTGTGGATGAACCAGGGAGGGGAAAGGCAGAATGGAACAGACCAAGAGATGCACAGAGAGAGAGACCTAGATGAGACATTGAAAGTGGCTCCTCCTCATTGTAGAGCATGCAAGGGACAAAGCTATGGGCACTTTTTAGCCCTCATCAAACACCTTGAAGGGGAAAGCCTGAGGACCATAGGGTCTTGGGGGACCTCAAGGTCAATTGGCCCAACGAAGTGCACAGAGAAAATGTTCTACATCCTACTTTGATGAGTAACAACTGGACTCTTAAAACGTGTGAGCAGTCATCTCAGATGCAATGAGTGGTCTCTCCTTGTCCAGAGGAAAGAAGCGTGATGAGGGCACAGGGAGCAATTAGTTCAGTAGACTAATGGACCCCATGAACGTACGTCTCTGTGACCCCGAGACCGGAGAACTAGATGGGGTTTGGCTACCACTATTCACTGCTCTGAAGGGAATCACATTAGAAGCTCCTGTCTGAAGAGAGTGGAGGGTTTGGGGGGAGGATGTTGAATAAAATTCAAATTCATAAAGAAGAGGTTTACTGATTGGATAGAGACAGGTGGAACCCCTGAGACTCTGGCCCTTGGCCACTCCAGCTCTGGAAGCGAAATGGCTCCATTTTCAGCAGTTCTGTAAGGGGAACGATAACACTAGGAAAGTAGGCACTCCTTCAAATAATCAACCATTTGAGATCAAAAGGTAGCATTCACCCAATGACAAAGGCCCAAAGAGTTAGGAAAGGAGGAGGAATAAAAACAGAAGATGCATCAAGTGAGACAAAGGATAGTACATTGTGGAGATTATGCACTTTATGAATAGAAAACTGATTTGCTCTGTAAATCCTGCAGCCAATTGACAACCAAAATGTTTTTAAAAGAATAGGCTTCCCCCCCACCCCCAAGAAATATAAGGTCCCAAAGAAGTTACACTGGAACATATTTGTGAAAAAGGAAACTAAAAGAATGAAAATCAAATTTCAAATATTTTAGAATACCTAGGTAATGATGGCAAGTGTATGCTAATTCTTATAATCATTACTCAGTATTAATAAGATTTGAGGGCATA